CTAATCTAACTGATGATACAGGTCAAGCTAATTTAGTTGCAGTAAATGGACATATAGTGCTTCAGATAGATACTGATAAATTAAATAAGATGGTCAGACAACCTGGAAATATAATAGTTAAGTTAAGAGCTATAAAAGACCCTTGAAATAAAGATTGATATGTAGCAGGAGGTTGTCTTACTAACTTTTCAGTAAATACACCAAATGCTAATAATAGTACTACTGTAATTGTATCTGACATTTGATTTAGTCAAGCTGTATGATGATTAAAAACTCATTTCCCTATAGTGAAAGAGAAGCTTCGTGATATGATATATGAAACAATCATAAAGGGAGACATGACTATAGATGAATTATATAAAAAAATAGTATAAATAGGTAGACAAGCTAACTATAGGCCTGAAGAATTATATAGGAAGTTCTTAAATATCCTTCTACTGTCATAGCTTGAAAAAGTTGAAAAGATTAGCGAACATTTACCATTAGATGAATTAGCTAAAAAGCTTTATGAGATAGAGTTATACTGAATAACTAGATATAAAAAAGATAAAATATCAGATTTACTAGTATCTAATTAAGCATTTTAGTAAATATATGAACCCTCGCCTGTTTTATTACAACAGCAAAGAATATCTTTAGAAGATATGCAAAAAGCAATTCAAAATGCATTAGCATAATAAAAAACTGAAAACTAGACATTAATAAAGAAAGTTACAGAATTACAATCATAAATGGTTCAACAAATACAATTACCTGTTCTACAAATAGTTGAACCTGTTAGACAGCTAAGAGGTCCACCATCTTTATTGAAAACAGAGGAAGGTCTCAAGAATTATTATGTATCTGAATACTTAAAAGAAGTAGGTCTACTTAATAAGGAAGATTTAGACTCAGATTATCCTGTAAAATCTTTTCAAAGTCTTCATCTACAGTTAAATAATAATTCTGCTAGATTTGATAGGATTGAAAAAGAACTTGAAGAAACTTAGAATAATGTAAATCAGTTAGCTAATCTATTTCAGAAAAGAACATATATATGAAAATGCAAAATTTGTAGGAAAATAGGTTATAGCAAAAAAAATTATCCAAATAGACTGATAGCTCAATCTAATTTTATTCAATCATATTTTACATTTCTTAAACTAATAGTTTCTCCTGATTTAGATAGTGAGGAAAATGCTGGGAATGGTTATGAAGAAAAAATGAAAAGTAATATAATCTACCGGTAAAAAAAAACAGGTATCAGTAAATGAAAGTTTACCTAGCAACTCTATTATCCCTTCTTTTGATCTAGTAACTAACCAGTCTGAAATATATGATAAGCTAATATCTAAGCTTTCACTGCTAATACAAAAAATATCCTTGTCTCAAAAGGTTCAGGAAAAGGAATCAAAAGAATCAGATGAATGGTTATCATCTTTATAATATCTGAATGCTAATATAAATAACTTAACTATTTTTGAGTCTTTTTTAGATACTGACAGTGAGTTAGGTGATTTAAATGATTTAGCAATTAAGGCACTTAGATAGAAGGCTGATAAACTAACTAATTTTGTCATAATAGGCAATTCCAAGTATATCACTAATTCATTAGGATGGTATATAGACGTGCCAGTTATCTTGAAGAATAAAGAAGGTAAGACATCACAGTTATTGAAAATTTTTTTCATATTGATAATGGTGAAATAGAACTAATGCTATTTTTTAATATATCAAATATTCAAAACTTCAAGACATTCCTGAGCTAAAATAAATCCAGTTTTGTATAAAGTTACATGAAAAGGTATATATTATCCCAATCTTTAGTAGGTTCTAGTAGTCAAAGATCTGCTAAAAAAAGATCAGGACTAAGCATCTATTAATTTCTTTAGCCCAAATAATAAGAAGAACTTAAAAAAAAGTGTGTAAAGCTTGAAGAACAACTATTAAAAACTGAGAAATAGCTTGATATAGCATTAAATGCAGGTAATATTCTTGCAGAAAAATGCTTATAACTTATAGAAAATAAATCAGATGCATGATAGCTTCTTTAATAATATTTACTAATTTATTAAGATCAAATTCTCATCTAGATGTATTATCTTTAAAAGAATTGGCTACTTTATCTGCAGAAGAAAATTCATCTTTTGGCTTTATACTAGCCTTTTTTTCTAACTAACTTTATCTTTTCACCTACTAGTTACTGTATTCAGACTATTAGAATTTGTATCATTCTCATTATCTATAGGATATTCTGTATAAGTGATTCTGTCTTCTTGTATAATAGTAGAGGAAGAAATATCATGTGAAGATTCCTGATTATTTTTTGAAATCTGGTCAGAGATGTTAACAGATTCTATGATTCTATGTCATTTCTAAGTAGATTCAGAGGGTCTGATTATCAATTATTTTTTAATATGTTATTGATCCTATATGATGTTTTTTACACATAATGCATTGAATATCTGAAATATTATTTTAAGTATTTCTAATTTCTTCAATAGCTTTAAGTGACAAGTGTCTGACATCTGATCTAAGAAATTTACGAGTATGGGCTGTTTATTTTTTGCTTATAGTTTGCTAGTAATAAATCTATATGATACTAATAAAAACTTATAGAAAATTTATTTGATATTGGTCTGATATTAGCCTGATATTAGTTTGTTACATATATGTAGTTCACTTTCTTTACAGTGTAGTATGTTATAATCATAATTCAAATAAAAAATAGGTTTAAGATACATATACTTCAGATATTATATTTCTTTAAAACTAATTCGTTATTAGTTTTTTATTAGTTTTTTATTAGTTTGATATTAGTTTGATTCTAAACTTCCTTTTTTCATATTCGAAAAAAAAAATATACATATATTATTTAATTTTACCAAAAATTTGTAAGAATATGTCTTAGAAAAAAATCATAAAAAACTTTGCCTTCAAATAAATTCATATGGCAAATATACATAAGCTAAATGAAATAAATAATAGGATACCCTTGGTATCTAGCAATAAATTTGAAAATTTGCTATTTAATCAATATCCATCTAGCCGAACTGAGCTTGAGAATCAACTTGCTTGTTTAAAATATGATCTAGATATTACTTTAAACTCAGGTATTTAGCTTAGCACTAGAAATAGTTTCTTGATAAAAAATAATGAGAGTTTTTCAGAGCATGTATGCTAGCTTGAAGATAAGACAAGAGAACTCAAAATGAGATTAATTAAAAAGAGATTTCTCTTGTAAATGCTAAGAATGAGATTGCTACAAAATTGGAAGAAATACAAGCTTTCTATTCAAGAATAGAGGAATTAGAACAGGATATTTCTTTAGCAGAAAAGAGATTATCAGAAATGGATTCTTTTAAGCATAAGTCTGAACTGGAATACATAAAACTGTTTGACAAAAATATTAGTTTAGATTTAGCAAAAATGGAATTAGAAGATACAATGATCAAAAAAAAGGATGAATTAATGCGGATGAAAGATAATTTACTTTTAGCGCAAAAAGTAGTAATAGAAAAAGATTTTCTCTTTTAAAAAACTAATACTCTTTTATTAGAAAAAAGTAACAAAATTACTAGCCCTGAAACAACCTCAGAATCACCTTATTTCTTATTTTTTTAGCATGCATTCATTTTTGTAATAGTATTACTAATTATATACATCTTATGGTATGTATTCTCTCATCTATATTCATCTTACAATAAAGAAAAAAATATTCTGAACTATAAAATACCCTTAAATAGAAATCAAGGTTATGGTTTCCTGATATGATACAGAGAAGAATTAAAAGACAGAACTACCTCCTGTGAAACTTTACCTTATGGATATAGATGAGGTCACAAAGCACAAATCTTTTTGAAATGTTGGACATTCAGCAATAACATGACTATTTAGCAAGGTAATCACAGGAAAAAGTGATACAGGTAAAACTAATTTAATAGCAAATCTTGTCATTGAAAATAAAGGTGAACATATATATAAAAGACAAAAGTGTAGATTTAGATATATTAAATGTGATAATTTAATAGTTTATAATTATCATTCTGATGAGCATAAATGAGTATTCGTTAAATATATCTATGAAATAATTGCAAGTAATCATAAAACATCTTATTATAAGAATATTAGATTTAAATACATATCACTGAAAAAATTCCTAGTGTAAAATCCTTTTCACCTAAGAGAAGTACTGTAATTATTTTTGAGGATTTATGTAATGCTTCAGAGTTAATACAAAATCAAATTATTCTATTCTTTACACATAGGCGATATCAAAATATAAGTTCAATCTATATAACACAAAAATATCATTATATTTTAATAATTATTCGTGAAAATATCTCCTATCTAGTGATATTTAATAGAGGCAGTAGTTATTAAGATATGTCAAGATAGCTAGTTGTTATACTGATGATGTTAAGAATGCATCAATAGTTATTAACAGTTACTTATGCAAAGGTAAATTTGTTATATTTGATCACATTAGGCTAGAAGATGATTATCTTGCAATCCGCTTAAGATTTGATACTTCACTAAACTTGCAAAAGAAGATAGAGGCTAGACAGAAACGCAAAGAAAAAAGTGCTTTAGCTAATGAATAGAATCTGACTTTATAAATGTTAGCTTTTTTTTGTAATTATAAAAAATTAGAATAAGAGTACTAATTATTTATATCAATTCTCAGAAAGCTCAAGACTTAGATCAGGATCTTATTTTACAAAAATTTTATTATAGACTTAAGGGATATTATCAGATTTCTAAAAAATGCAAATGGCTTATAATAATACTAGATATAAGTTTTCTCTTACAGAAATCAAAAATTGGCTAAACAAACAGGCTTTGCATTAGATTTACAAGCTTTAGCTAAAATTTATTTAGTATGCCTCCTTTAATAATATTCAATTTTTAAATAAAGTGCACTAATCTGATATTACCCTCATGTCTCATAATAAAGTAAGTAATCAGATTTATAAGTATAATAGTATTATCAAAGATATTGTAACTAGATACTAACATAGTTTTGCATTAACTAATAAATCTTCTGCACAAATGGCTAAAGCAATTCAAAAAATATACAATGATCCTAATGATCCTTTTAACCTACCTAAAGATTTTATTGTAAATAAAGGTATTGAATATATGAGCAAATGTAGAGATTTATTACTCAGTTATAATATTAGAATTCAGTATGTTAACTCTAAATGTGATGTGGTTATTGCCATCAAGAATTTGAAAAATATGCTTATTTTCAGCAAGATGCTGAAGATTTTTATTTGCATTTAACTAATAGATTCAGCGTATAGGTTAACCCTATAAGAAATTTACATACGTTAATTATATGTTTTATATACGTTTATAATACGTTTTCATGAATTATGTATTATAATTCCATATATTTTATAAGGAATTATTTTTAGTGAATTTTTAATTTAATAAATATATACAGAATTATAAAAATGTAATAATTATACAGAATAATTATACAGAATTTATAAGAAATTTTACAATTATAATAATTATATATAAAATGAATAAATTATGAAAATTATATACTTTAGTAAA